TTGGTGGAATGTATTCTGTGCTGTTTCTGTTTCAGTACGTTGTAATTTTCAGTTCCTTATTTCACTGTAATCCAACTTTGCTATTCGGTATTAGTAATTTTCAGTCCCATTTGTGGTGTAGTTTCTGGTTTATGCTTGTTTAAAGCTTATTAGAATAGAGGGTTCCATCAAAATGTTAACTTGAATGGATGAGTGGTGGGCCTATATTGATTTGAATTTGTTGAAACTGCAAAATTCTTAATGTAGTAAACTTGTCCTTCAACAAGCGTCTGACGAAATTTATCAAACTGCACCTTGTTCGTAATGGATGCTTGGATCATATCTCCCTACAAAAATTATAATATAGATGAATACATGAATTAAAAGGCCATATGGATTAAAATCAATCTTTAACATTAGAAGTTTTAGATAAATATATCTCTTCATCAAGCAGAATCATGGTGATACAAAAGACTTCATGAGAATTGGTTTTGTGATACACCTTATACTTTTTGAAGACCTTCACGATAACATCCCAACGATCTGTTCCATCATGGAAGTCTTTGATGAGAGAAATCTTTGAAACAGCCATGTTTAGGAGAAGTGAGAAGAAACGACACTATAAAGGATTATAGTACATCTCAACATTGTTGGGTACTGTGGTTGGAAGTCTCTGTGCTTTTATAGACACCTGTTGGTCATCTGCAACGAGTGCATAAACCATATTAGTCCATACATGCTACAGCAAGTACTTTGTAAAGGGAGAAGTTAAAGATGATATCCTGCTTATTGTGTAATAATTCATCAGACGAAAGCTCATTATCAAACACGGGAAAACATGAATCTTTCTGACCGCATGCATGCATTCTTTTATTTATGTAACCAACTAAGGATGGGTTCACTGCTGTTAACACATTAGGACAAAATTCATTGCTAAACTTCATTGAAAGACAAAGGTGTAGACTTCGAAAGGTGATATAATCAACTAACAGCATAATTGGCTGGACTTGATATGTCTCAATTCATGCAGCATAGGAAATGCTTTTGCAGTTCATTTAATGAAAAACTGATGTGCAAATGAGATAAGCACTTACATTTGTCTCCAGTCTTACATATATTGACATGTCAACCTATTTAGAACGGTGATTCGTAGGACAGACATAAACCAAGAATATTAACAGCTACTAACTGCATGCATGCATGCATGATTCCATGTCTTATTCATATATCATTTCTTACAAAACTAGCACATTTCACTGTCAATCATGGTTACAATTTAATGTAGGTAATATTTATACGCATGCAAGAATATGTTTACCATGAATGGTCACTTGGCACAGATTCTACTGTCACAATGAGCCAAGATAAATTAATGATTTCTAGATTTATACAATAAATGCTTAAGTGGTAACTTCTCAATCTTCGATAAGACATCTGAAATACTAATTATCCTTGATAAGAACCTCAAGCTAGGGAGTTATCAAACCACTCTTTCTAAAATATCTGGAACCGCCGACTTTCCTTACAAAACCAAAGACATCTGAAACACATTGTCAAAATGATCTTCAGTGGCTTTGCTAAATGTAAAACTCATCATCAAGAGTTCTTTAGTACATAGATGCTAACCACAAACACGAATCTCTAGTCACCATTCTCGTCTTAATTCATGAACAGATATGATCTTGAAGAAATATTCATCCTTACAACTTGGCCAGTCATGTATGCATGATTGGGGAGTGAACTCTATATGATGTAGTGGATGAATTGCAAGACCACCAACGACAAAATGAAAATGGTGTATGAAATAATTTTGCTTCTCTCTAAGTCGATTGCAAAATCGCTCAATGAGTTCATCACCAAATACTGAAAACACCATCCGGGTTAACTATTATTATTTGGGGGGATTTTTAAATGAAAAAAGAATTATTTGATATGGTTTTCCAAGTCATTCTTTCCTACAATATACTCATTTTTTCTGACTTTTAATTTGAGAGTTGAGACTAGATATCATATCATCAATGTATATCTACAAATCTTGTAGAATGAAAGTAATAGATTACAAATCTCTTCTCTGTCATTGGTCAACATACTTTGGTATAATGTTAATTATCCTCTCCCATTGGTTAATTAATTATACACCAATCTCTTATCTCCCATTGGTCAACATACTTTGGTATAATGTTAATTATCCCCTCCCATTGGTTAATTAATTTTTGTATAATCAATTTAATTTTAATCTAATATTAATATTATTATTTCATTGGTTGATGTGATTGAATATTTTTTTTATTAGTTGGTATAATTTAATTTATTTTTTATTTATTTTAATTGATTTTTATTTTTACGGGATGATCAATTTAGATGTGATTGAATTTTTTTTATTGGGTGACAGAATTTAATTTATTTTTATTTATTTTAATTGATTTTTATCTTTTCACGGAACAATCAATTTAGATGTGATTGAATATTTTTTTTGATTGGCTAACAGAATTTAGTTTGTTTTTTCATTTATTTAATTGATTTTTCTCTTTTCACGAGATGATCAATTTAATTTTTGTCTAATATTAATATTACTATTTCATTGGTGATTTGATTAAATATTTTTTATTGGTTGACAAAGCTTAATTTATTTTCATTTTATTTAAATTAATTTTTATCTTTTCACAGGATGGAAGCATTAAATTCTATTTTAAATTTTCCCTGAATCATCTATCATGGGAGCATTAACTATGTTGTTTCTCATATTCTCCATTCCCACTAGAGAGTTTATGTTCCCAATACAGGAATATATTTGCATCTCCTAATCTTATATACCCTAATTAATGATTTATCAACCATTCTCCTAAGTGGGTTTGTTGTCAATGGTGGAGAGTTTGGTCAATGTCAGGGAGAGGATGTCCGGTTCATCCACATACTTCTTGAAGAATTCAAGAGCTTGACTTCGTCATGCTTGAATGACGGCCTTTGGGATGAATTTCCTTTTACTGGGTCCATTACCATGGTGTCCTTCATAAGAACATTAATAGTGAATTCACTTACGATTGGGCATTATAAGGAAAGGCATTTCAATTTAAAACAGGTTTTCACTTATGAAGAGAAATTGTAATGTCATGAATACACAGATCGTATTTATGTGTATACTCATGCAATGCACGATCATGCTTATAGATTTATAAAAGAACTCCCAAAAATTTAGCCATATCATATGTATCAATATCAATGATATCAATTATATTTGTTTTAAATTTTTTAATTTCAACTCATGCAATGTATGGAAACTGTCTAGTTATTATTAAATTACGTCCTCTCACTCTTTAACAACTTCTCACTTAAAAACATGAGAACCTTTAATGGGTACTTGTTTTGCAAAAAGTATACTTGCTTTCATACAGACGAGAGCGACGTGAAACGCATGAAAAAGGGGATGGCACAAACACATATTTTATTGATGTGTGATGAGCACAAACGGAAAAATAATAACCATGAAAAGAAGAGAAAGCATACAATTGAATGCAATGATGTGTCTGTTTAATTTCTAGGCTCCTTTCTCTTCACGACAAAACCATTAACAATAATGTTGGTTACGTTTTAGCTTTGATTATCAACTCAGGAAATAAAGTGACTTCATATTTATCTTTATGATCATCCGACCTTTCTCAAGTTCAGCTGGGAAGAAAATTCTCAATGTGAAGAGCATAGAATATTAGCTTCGATTCTTTCTTGGTCCACTTCCTCTGTTAACAGCATTATATTTAGGACGAATAACAATTAGCTCCAAAACTTTAAATTAATAATAGTTAAGTCCTCGACAATTTTTTTGAATAAGTTGAAATTTAAGCATCAAATATAACTCTTAGATTGTAACAAGAATTTACATTTGTAATTGTTTGAATTAATATTTACAATTTATTTTTAGAAAATTTTGCCCAAAACTATTATATTAATTCAACCTTTTAGGACCTAACTGTCAATTTTTCATATTAATTTCATACTGAGAAACAACTCATTTTCAAGTTCGGATCTTAATTTTTTCAATTGAGATTAATTATAGTCTTAATCCATAATAGTAATTTTAATAGTGTCTTTTATTAATTTTTCAAGTGAGACCTATTCAATTATTTTGTTCATCTACTCGAGGGCATTTTTTCAAACTTATATATTTTTAATTTCAAGTAAGGACTATAGTTCATTATTATTGAGCTTTCAATAATTCAAGATTTTTAATTGTAATTAATGATCTTATAGGGTCTTTAATTGTCATTTTTCAAAATTCATTTTCCCAAAAAAATTATCTCCCCTATACCCTGGGTTCATGGTTTAATTAGGTGGTTTTTGTGTAAAAGTGTGAAAGCTATGCCATGAAGATAGCTTTTTTCTGTTTTTACAGCTTCTTGTGATAATTCAAGACAATCAACTATCAACAAGGACTCCACTTATCATCTTCCAAATTACGCAACATAGCTATATAAATCAAGCCTATTCATAATTGTGTGGATGCAAAACGGCTTAGAGTTGAAACCGATATTTTGCTTAATTTATCAGATCTGCACATCATCCATTTCACTTTGTTATTTGTTTTCCTTTGCGATCTCATGCATCCACTATATGTGTATTTTTTGTTGAGGAGATTAGTTTGAACTTGGTGTGACTGAAAAATTCGCCCTTCAACTTTTGCTTGCCAATTTTCAAAACTCGAGTTTACTCAAGGCTATTGAGTTTGTGGACTTCTTCATAACTGAAATAGTTTTCCATTTTGACCAATCAATAACCACATTTTCCTTTCCATCAAATGCTATACTGACCCGTTAGTTTTTCTCCTCCCCGAGAGGAAAAAATAAAGGTGAGAAAAAAGTTTTTTCCCTCTATTTTCTCCTCTAATTTTCCCTCATTTATATTTCTTTTTTCCCATTCCAAAGTCTGAAAGTGTGTTTAGAAAAAAAAATTGTCAGAAAAAGGTACAATTTTTTTTAACGAGGAAAACTCCCTCAATGTGAGAAATAAAAACCACGGGACCTAGTCCAAAAAGAACTCCACTGTAATCTAATCAATATATACAAATAAGTCTTCAACATTTATCAGCCACGCACCCTATTCTTTTTTTTTTTCCTTCCTTTTTTTTTTGGATAAAAACTCAACCACTACTCACTTTGTATACCAACATATAGTGAAGATCACTACAATGATACGGCCCAGCTAACAAATTTGACTACACTACTCTAAATACTTTATGAAGTTTTCAAGAAATTTAACAATTATCGACAATCAAATCTTCTGCTTGAGATGAACTCCTAGTAGCATTGTGGCTTTCTTCAAATTGGATAGACAAGAAGACCACTTAGTGTCTATATCTTCCAGCTGTTGCCTTGCATTTATTTGGTCTTCCACCACCATGTGAGACTTCTCTTTCTTCAGTGCCTCAAACTCCATTATGAATCCTATGGTGTCATAAACACTCTTCTTCTCTTGCTCTTGAAGAGATAACAACTTCCTCTCACACTCTTCAATTTCTTTTTCTTTGTCATGCAGCTCAGCTCGCAACTTAGAGATCTGCTCCTTCAACTCTGCTTCCTTCAATTGACCCTTAACCATAGAATTCTTAGCTTCAGCAATAGAATTCTTGGCCTTGTTAATGTCAGATAAAAGAGTTTTGGCTGCTTCCTCTCGCAGTGAGCGTTGTTCAATCATATGCTTCTCCTTTTGTTCAAGCTCATTGAATGATTCAATGGTGGCATAGGCTAGGTTGAAGGAAGATAGAACATATCGGATTTCTTGCTGCAGGGAGTGAATTGTAGCTTGAAGGCCATAAGAGGGAGGTCCATCTTCAAAGCAATGGGAGGACAAGATGCTGAGAGAATTCTCAAGACGAAGTCTGTTTCCTTCTGATGTAGCTATTTCATTAAGACTCATCTTCAATGAGGCTTCCAAGTCAGTAAGGGCCTTACTTGCCTCGTTATTATCTTTGAGATCAGCAATGATTTTAGATACATAAGACATGTCAACTTCTGTATCAGCACTTTCCTTCATTATTTTGAATAGCATCATCAGATCATGTTCTTCACATTGTTGAGGCTGCTTCTGGTCAATCTTAATTTCTTCATCAGTCAAAGTCTTCTCATCATTGACCATGATTTCATCCTGGGTTGGATAATCAATAAGACATAAACATCATTCTTACCAATAAAAAAATGTTTACTAATTGTAATATCTTGTTCAAATTTTAGAATTAGCAGAAAAAATTTGAAGGAAAAAATGACAACCTGAAACTAATTCAATATATGAAGGACTTACTTCTGGAAATTCAGAAGTTACAGATTGGTTTGACTGTGAGCTCTTTGGTTCTTTGTAAGTAGCTGATGAAGTTACTACTTGGGGTTTCTCAGGAGTAGAGATTGAAGGGATCTAAGACCATGTAGTAAGAAAAATTAAACTCAATGAAAATCAATAAGATCCCAATATTATTGCTCAAGTCAAAGGAGAGGAATGGAAAGGTAATAATTTACCAGTGGAAAGGTCATTTTTGAAGTGGGAGGAGGAATTGTGAATGCAGCTTTCCTTGGTGTCTCTTTAGAACAACATTCCTTGGTAGCTTTTGCTATAACTCTTTGAGGAGCTCCATTAGGGCTTATACCTTCTTCAAGTGCTTCTTTATCATCCATTGATTCCTCAGCACATGACTCCTAAGCAAAGGAATGAATAAGCAACAATATAATACATGAATACAAGCATAATGCAAACATACATACATTAGAGCAAAAAAGAATGAAACAAGCCTACATTGGTAGAAGTTAATATGCATGGATTTGACATTGTTAGTACGGAATAAGTTTTTGAGTTACAAATGTTGAAACATACACCATCTTACAATAAGACTAACTCAAACCCTCAATCCTCTAGGACAATCTTTTCTCAACCTCTTTACTCTTTAGGCATATCCCTAAAAGGATGGAAGACAAACTTCTAAGCCTCTTTATGCATACTTGAGAATACCTCATTTTTCATAAACTCCTTCTATTTGGCCTGAATCTACCCAAACACTCACCCTCACAAACTCCTAGGAATAGCTCCACAACCTACCAACATTAGAGTCTTCCACGTACCTCTTTCTATCTTTTATTAACAACTCCTCCCATAGGAGCTTTCCATGGATGCTTAAGCAAACTTGGACTATCAATGAAATGCTCCTCCCCTCATTTGTTGACATTTTTCAAATCATTAAAATCATTATCAGATCCTATATGTGGTAGAGCTGGTTGACCTACTATGATTCTTTCACTTTTGGCTTCATGGCAAACCAAATTCTCCTAGCTAAATGAGCATAAATATGCAAAAAGCAACATAAGGTTATGCTATTTATCATAAATTCAGCCCATATCAAGAAGGACCATATTCTCACATCTAGAGATTTATTTTCTGATGGAACAGCAGATATTGTTTGTGGTGTGATGCGTGATTCTGAATTCATGATTTGATCAGTTTTTCTAGCTTTATTTAATTTAAAACCTCCTTGAATGCTCAGCCTCATAGTTTCCTCAGCAATCTGTTTCTTAGCAAAGAGTAGTAATTTAGTGTTGAATTTGATTACTTTCAGTGCCATCTATCTAGAAATTATATCCTTTAATAGCTAAATTTGTAATATAAAACCAAGTGGTGCATTAGAGGATCCTATAAATTCTTATACTAATTAACTGAAAGGAGCTCAATTAATGTACAAGTGAAGGAGTTCGCTGGAGATTTGCTCTCTAAAATATCTGAAGTAGACGATGGAGTTATCATAATTTGATGATGGTTTGGGCATGTACAAAGAAGACCAAGGGAGGCACCAGTGAGAAGAGTGGAACATATAACTTTGAGTCCGATTAAGAGAGGTAGAGGAAGGCCTAAGAGAACACTCTTTGAAGTTGTTGAACGCGATCTCTTAATTAATAATATTCCTAAAAGCTTGATAAATGATAGAGCACAATGGCGTCTTGCAATCCATGTAGCCGACCCCACCTAGTGGGATAAAGGCTTGTTGTTGTTGTTGTTGTTGTTGTATCATAAAAAAGGAACCTGTACATGCTGTTCATTTGCTTCTGGTTTAGTACTCCATAAGCTCACAATATACTAATGGACAAAAAACCATTTGTTGGTTGCTTGAGTCTCTTCTAATTAGTTTGCCATAAAAGTCAACTTTCATAACCAAGTGCATTAGAGGGTCGTACCAGCTCTTGTATATAAAAAATAAATCATTACTATTGAGATGTTTTGGCTTCTACATATTACTACTTAATTGGAAATGTTCAACAAATGATGCCTAAAAGAAATGATGGTTACCCTATCTGAATTAGATGATGGATTTTCTGCTGCATGTTTACAATAATGTTGTTCTTCAATAATTTCGTTGGTCGATGCTTTTGTATTCTGCACCCATAAAGTATGAAGAAATAGCTAAAGAAGTTAAATCAATCAAGAAGAATAACATTTATTGATTAGGGAGAAACTACCGATTGTTTGAGTTTGTTATTATAGAAGCATAATGTAAATACCTCTTTCATATGTGGCAACTTACTACTCTGTTTTTGTGTTGTGAAGTCTTTTTCAATGATCTCCTTTGGTGTTTCTTCACTCTAAAAAACAACAAAGATATAAAAAGAAGATAAAATGAGTTTTGAAGGTATTAATAATAATACCTTAATAAATCTTAGCTCAAAACAGAAAATCTTTATTCATTTATGAATGAGACGATAAGCCAATAGAGAAATCATTAGTTGTTATCTTCAGTCTACTTGCTTATAGAAAAGTATAACATACCTATATATTTTTGTGACAAGCACAAACTTAAAGGGAGAGCTCATCCTAAAAGATTAATCTGATTGGATGAGAGAGCTCTTTAAATTTATAAATCTCACACCACTTGTGAGGCTCCCCATTGTGGCACTCATGACAATATCACCCCATCAAGAACTGACAAACCTAGCGGCTCTACTCCATAGCACTTCACTAGGCTTCCTGCTAACCAGAATCATCTGTAGGTATCCATTTCCATGACACGGCCTTTCAATAAAAGCATCAATGTAACGAGCACAAGTCCAAAGAAATAACCTATCCCAAAAGATTAACCTATTAGGTAAGGGAGCTCTTCACACCACTTGTGAGGCTTCTTGATGTGAGACTCGTGAAAATGCCAGCCCTAATTTTGATGCTCATATTATGTGCAATCACCGATGTGGGTTTTGATTAGCAGGGGGCCAAGTGAAGTTCTGTGGAGTGCAGCCACTGGGGATGTGGGCTCTTGATAGGGTAGCATTGTCACGAATCTCACATCGAAGAGCCTCATAAGGGGTGTGATGTTTATAAGTTCAAAGGGCTCTCCCATTCAATCGGACTAGTCTTTTGAGATGAACTTTCCCTTTAGACTTATACTTGTCACATTGATGCTTTCATTAAGAGGCCGGTGTCATGGAAAGGACTATCCACAAAGGGTTATGACAGGCAAAAGGCCAAGTAAAGTATCGTAGAGTGGAGCCGCCAAGGGTGTCGACTCTCAATAGGGTAGCATTATCACTATTCCCACATCAGGGAGCCTCACAAGTGGTATGAGATTTATAAGTATGAGAGGCTCTCCCACTCAATAGGTTTGTCTTTCAGGATGGGCTTTCTCTTTGAGCTTGTGCTCGCATTGTTATGTTACGACATTGTTGAGTCATTTTCAATAACCACTTGTGGTCTTTATACCATTTCTTGCTTATAAATCATGATTGTTTCATTCTTATCTTTTCTTCTGCCAACTAACTTATCCTTCATGAACATGAATATTCAAATGACTGCTTATAGGTAATTTTTTTTTTCCAGATAAAAATGGTGATAGTTCCTCGAGGAGATTCAATTTGTAAAGGCATCTACATGGAAGCTGCTTCCTCTACCAATATTTAACACAAATCCGCATAAACATTGACCCTCACTATTCCTGAGAACATATATTTCTACAACCTGCCGCAATAGAGACCCTTTTTCCATTCTTCTTCTACGTATAAGTTAAAATCTCATTCCTCAGGAGCTTCCCATGAAACTCAAGTGAACACTGACTACTATCAGTGAAACGTTCCTCCCCTCTTTTGTTAACTTTGTGTGAATCATTGGAATGTATACATATATGTGCTTGAGCTTGTTAATATATAATAAGATTCCTTCACTCATGGCTTCCTAATTTGTGAACGAAATCTTCCTAAATGAACATGAATATGCAAAAAGAATTATAAAGTTACGTCATTTAGCATGTAAATTGAATCCATATCAGAGAGGACTTGCTTAACAAGTTCATTTGCTGCTGTTTTTTGGTACACTATAAATTTAGCATGTTTGCGGAAAGAAAACCTTCTGATGTGTTTTTAACTCTGTTTTAATTTGAGTATTGTCATCGTCAACTTCGATAACCAAGTGCATCAAAGGCTCCTACCCATTCTTATAGATAAAACAAAATAATTTTTATTAATAGTTTCTGCTCAATAAATCTACTAATGTATTTGTTGAGAAATGAACCTTACCAAATCTGAACTAGAAGATAGAGTTGTTGTATTTGAACTAGAAAGCTGTTCAACAATTTCATTGTTCGTTGATGCTTCTGTATTCTGCATAGCTCAGAAAACATGAATATGTTGCTAAAGAAGTTAAATTAATCAAGAAGAATATTTGGCCAAAAAAAAAATAAAGAAGAATATCATCATTTATTAATTATAGTAGAAACTGTTTGTTCATTTGAGTTTATGTTATTATTGAAAAGCATAATTTACATACCTTCGTTAAATTTGGTAATTTACCAGTCTGTTTGTCTGTTTCGGAGTCTTTTTCAGGAATGTCCCTTGACATTTCTTCACTCTATACGACAATATATATATATATATATATATAAAGATAAATCGAGTTGTCAAGTTATTAATAACCATAATGTATCTTAGTGCACAAAATAAAAAATTCTTGATTTATTTTGAACAAATAAATAGGCCAATAAGGTAAAAGAGAAACCGTTAGTTGGTTTCTTTAAGTCTAGTTGATTATACTAAAGTATAATATACGTACATTTGCCAAATTTGGTGAACCATTGTTCTGATTTGGCATTGTAGAGTCTTTTCTAATAGCCTCTTGCGGTCCTTTTTCTTCAATCTGAACAATAATAGTAGATATAAAGAAGTAAAATAGTTATCCACTCAACAAGTAGGAAAATAAAAGCTAGAGTACGTCACTAATAAAAATAGGAATCATAGATTTGAAATAAAGTCATCTTCCTACTAATTGTAAAACCTCAATTTATTTCCACTTCCACATTGCTAAATGGTCGATAGAAGTTCAATGAAAATACAAGTGAAAGTATTTGTTGAGGAATGACCCTCAATATTTTAATCAGATGATGAAGTTGTTGCACTATTAGAAAAGTATTTGTTGAGGAATGAGTTGCTAAATAATTCAATTCGTTAACAAGCATATCATACATTATTTATTGAGCGAGAAACCATTTGTTGGTTTATGAGGCTGCTTTGTTTACAATGAAGCACAATGTTTACCTCAGTCGAATTTGATAAACTACTGTTCTGTTTGTGTACTGTGGAGTCATTTTCAGCAATCTCCTTGGATGCCTCTTCACTCTAAACAATCACAAAACATATAAAAAGAGATAAAATGAGTTGAAATCTCATAAACTTTATAAATCTTAGCCAACCAAAAAATAGTTTCTAGAAATATTGACATCATCCCAAAATTTGGAACAATGGAAGATCACAATAATTAAGAGAAGTATAATGCATATACATTTGCTAATTCCAGAGAACTATTGCTCTGTTCTGATGTTGTCTTGTCTCTCTCAGGAGCTTCCTTTGATTCTTCTTCTTCTTCTCTCTAAACAAAGATATAAAGAAAATCATAAGTTCAAGTCACTAATAAAGGTAGAAAAAAGTGGTTGATCCATTGATTTCTACCAAAATTAGTAGCAAGGCACATTTTTGTTTATGAATTGATCAACTTGATATATTTTATCAAAGTTTGGTGTGAAAATTATCATTTTCGGTTCCCTGTCCCTTGTTTATTTTCACTTCCATGAAATTATGTTATTTTAGCAAGTTTGGTACTGACCTTGAAAGCCCAGTTCAAAATCTCAGATGTGTAGGAGTAGTAGTCTTCATCTACAAAGTTTGTCAGATCATTTCGTAATGTTCTATGAACATCAAATACTGCCCAAACAAAACAATTTCATTATCATGAGAACAAATGATAGCAGTTAGCAATTGTGATTAACTGTGTGTGTGTGTGTGTGTGTGTGGATACTTACATTCACGGGAGCTGGCATTAGCTGAAGTTAAAGCAATATTGGGACAATGATGCACAAGACGGACTTTCACACTTTGAAAATCAATTCCTTGGCAGATAGTATGAAGAGTTGGTAGATTTATCAGTCTTAATGCAAATAGTTTTGGAAGCACATCCTTCATGACCGGCTCTTGTGGTGTGCCCTGCTCCCATCCAAATACTTGCCCAAGATCAGGGGCATCTTCTATGTTCAAGAACATGAGCTGTGGAAGCTTGCCACATTTGGAGATGGAGAATAGGCATTTCAATTTCTTGCAATGCTTCACTTTGATTCTACGTAGCTCTGGGAAACATTCTCTCCTTGTCCCATTCTCTTCATCCTCAATGATGCTCACGAGCTCTTCACAGTTTGATATGATTAGGCTGCTCAACTTTGGCATGTTTCTTGAGATAGATGTAGACAGTAGAAATTTCAATTGTCTGCATCCTTTGAGTTTTAGCGTGGAGAGATTTCGAAAGCTCTGATAATTTTTAGACCCCTCACTTATATCCCTAAAATCAGGCACCTCTTGCAAGTCGGGAAGAGGCTTACTTTTCTGCTTGAGAGATAATGCCTGTAAATATGATTGAGATACGTCAGTACTAAAGATTCTTTTTATGAGATCAATCATATATAACAGAAAAATATGTTGGAAATAGGTATACCTTTTTCCTCGAGAAATCTTGTCTTTTATGTCCGCCTTCCAAGAAATCTTTAAAAGTTTGTATGAGAAGTTGCGGACATTCTCCCAAACTGATATCTTCTACATATAATGCCTTCACATGATAGTTTTCAGTGCAAATATGAAGCATATTGGGTACATCTCTTAGGCATAGATCTTTTAGAGCAGGGAGATTTAGTTCAATCTTATCGCTATGATTTTGATCAACATGGCATTTTCCAAACACATATTTCAACCTTTGAGCCTTCCTAATGTCCACAGATTCCAAATCCTTAAAGTCTTTTGAATAAAATGCTGGAAATATATATTCCAAATGGTTACAACTACGAACATCAACACATCGTAATTTGGGAAAGATGGAGCCCACATTTAAATGATCATGACCATGCCCCTGGAATGTTACTATGTGCTCCAATGCATCACACTCTGTGACTTCCAATTCTTCCAACAATTTCAGTGACGAGGCAATAGATAGGGTAAAGAGTGATGTTAAGTTAGGAAAGCCCATTATCTCAATCTCTCTTAAATTGCATTGATATGAAATTGGTGTAAAATATTCATGAGTTGTACTGGGAATAGACTTCGACTTTGGTGCCTGAATTATACAGAAACATGTGATAAGTTTTCAGCATTTTAAATACTTAAATAAATGAAAAGTGTTTGGCTTAAAAAAAAAATAAATCAATGAAACTTACATGAAGCAAAATTTCATGCTTAAAAATATATTAAAGTTTATCTACATTGATACCTGTGTTTGAAATTGCGTGAGGAAATATCACTTGTGTCATAAGCTATGTCAGTATTTAAGATTGTTTTGAAGCAATCAATCTTAGACTAGAAAATCAAGTTGGAAATATGCTTACCTTTCTCCTCAACAGATCTTGTCCTTTTCGCACATCAACTGATAGATCTATAACAGTTTTTAAGGGAAGTTGTGGACATTTTTCCAATCTAATATCTTGTAGAGATAATGCTTCCACGTAATAGTTTTCGGAGCAAATACTAACCATGTTTGGGACATCATCAAGGTACAGTTCTTTCAGAGCTAGGAGATTAAGGTCCATATGAACATTATGCTGCTGACCAAAATGACATTTTCCAAACACATATTTCAACTCTTCAGCTTTGGTGACTTCAATCCGCTGTAAGTTGGGAAAGATAGAGCTGTCATTCGTGCGATCATGACCATGCCTCTCGTCTATTACTATCTGCTCAAGCGCACCACACCTTATTACTTGCAATTTTTCCAGCAATTTCAATGATGAGGCAGCTGATAATATAAAGAGTGCCTTTAACTCAGAAAATCCCTCTATCTTTATGATTTTCAAAAATTTGTACGGGTATAATGGTGGTGTAAAAAGCCCATGAGCTCTATTCACGACATGTTTCTCCTTTAACACCTGTATTACACAAACGTGAGATGTTTCCCAAATTAAAAAAGTATGTGTTCATATGTTCTATTGCAGAGTTAGAAAAGTACTTTTTGTCTGCGAAGAGTATGCAAGGCGAAAGAAAAAATAGAGGAGAATGTTTTTTTTTTTTTTTGATAGTCTAGAAGAAAAATCTAACCTATCTAATATTTATATATAAAATGCTAATTTTCTATATAAAAGTAATTTAAATTAGAAAATATAATTGAAAATTTTCTGTTATTTTATTTTAATTTGAAAATTTAGATGCAGAAATTACTTTGCATGTACGACATTTCAGATACTATATTGCAAACCAACATGCATTCTCTATCAATTCCTAATGAAACGAACCATAGCGTCAAAAAAGAGTGAGAGATAAGTACCTGCGTGTGGTCCAGCTGAGTGGCCTTGGCATCTACACTTGAGGCACTTGATTTTGACCAAAAACAGCATATAGGGCCCCATGATTTTTTCACTTGGGAAGGCTGAAGGGGATCATAGTCTTGATATATGTTGATGAATTTCGGTACATTTGCAATTTCTATTTCTTTTAGTAATGGGAGCATGATTTCTTTTTCCACTTGATTCAGTCCTCCCTCCTCTAGACATTGCCCAAATATGTATTTTAGCTCATTACACCCGTGGATTTTCATGCTTTCTAGTAATGGAAGGTCTTTATGAGAACAAATTGGCAATATGACTTCTAGTCCTTGACAATTTTGAATCTTGAGAAACTTCAATTTCGGGAGCATTGGGTCTTGATTCTCTTGATTAGGATCTTGATGATCATCCTCCTTCTGCAGCTCTGCTGATCTCTCATCACTTATTAGGCATTCTAGCTTAGAACATCCGCTTATGTACACATTTTTTAATTGCTTTAGACTCTGAGCTGTGGATGGATGGAAAAGACATGTCATTGAACAATCATCTATTTCTATAGACTTGAGATTACCAAGCTCTAGCTTGCTCTTAAATAATGTACCTTCTAGTTCAACACAACGACTTAAGTCTAGCTTCTCGAGTTGCTTGAGAAAGCTATTAGGATAATCACCATGACATAATTCCCTCATATGCATCTCTTTAAGTCGTAGCTCAACTAAATTGGAGAAGATAATTGCATTAGATCGAATGCCATTTGTATAGATTAGGCATTGTATTGCAGGCCAAGATCTCAAACAAAGCCTAATTAAGTCATTCATGCCTCCTTCTTTTATTTGAACCATATCCGGAATGAGATTTGTCCATCTTGTTTCATCACATTCTGTTAACTCAAGAATCTCTGCTCTTGCTGCCAAGGATTTTATTGTGCTTTCAGACAATATCCCTTTTAACTTGGTTGGATTGAAATATCTTTTTATTGAACCATCCAATTGAAAAGAACACCAAGAGGAGCGGCCTTCTATATGATATATTCCAAATTCTTGAAGAACTGTAATTTTAGAAGGCTTTGCATTAATGTTAAGATTGACATCATTTGAAAGATAATACAATACTTCTAACTTCGAGCATCTTTCAATCACTTCAAATGGATTATTCCTTTCCACTAAACAACGTACCAAGCCTAGCAATCTCAATTTCTCTAGTTGGCTGACATCAGTTGGCAATTCAATAATTGAACAATTAGTCAATTCAAGAGCCTGGAGTTTTTTTAGGTTTTGCAAAATAGATATATCACCTAACTTCCAATTTGTTAGGCATAGTGTCTGAATATTTTCTAGAGATTGAATGGATTTTGGCAGTGACGAGGCCAAAGTTCTCCCATACTTAATCTTTGAATACAAAAGCAAAACTCTAAGTCCCTTTATGCCATCAAAGAATGCATCTCGGACTTCCAAAGAACCATTTGCATTTACCCATACTAGAAGAACCTCAAGATTGCTACCCTTTAAATAGTTGGAAAAGTCCTTTATGATCCAAGATGAATATTTGACATTCTCCCTCAATTTTGTCTCCGGATCCATGATTTCTTGAACCTTTTCATGTGCTATCTGTTGGGCTACATCACGAATCACGTCATGCATTTTTACACATCCTTCTCGAGCAGTCAACAATAAAGCAGAACCGACGAGTGTGGTTTTTATTGAAAGCACTTGACTTCTTGCTATATAGTAGCTGTCATCATTTCCACAAAGTCCCGAACCTATAGCAATTTTGCTTAGAAGCTCTATAGGTATTTCATAAGCTCTTGGGAATATAGAACATATCTGGAAGAGATCTTGGGCTCCTGCAGCTAGATGCTTGAAACTCAATCTCAAAGAATTATAAAACTTCTTTGCTTCTTCATCAGCATTCCCATGCCTTAAGGATGCATCCTTTTCTGTTGCTGCAAAAGCTTCCTCCCATTCTCTTGGATCCTGGTTTCTCAAGGTTTTTGCTACTGCCACAACTATAATGGGTAACATTCCACATTTGTTCACAATTTTTGATGCTGCCACCTTCAATCTATCACGACAATCATTTCCACTCTCACTGGCATGAGATAGGAAAAGATCCACTGCATCTTCCTCAGGTAAGACCCCTAGTTTAATGGTCTTTTGGCATTTCATGCTCCTACAAATATTATCATAACGTGTGGTTAGCAAAATACAACAACGGCCCTGGGTATGGATGCCATGGTGAATCCCTATATTCTCAAGATTGAGCTCTTTCCAGACATCATCAAGAATTATGAGTAAATTTCCAGCGTTGGCAATTCTAATCCATATTTGTTCTGCATGTGTGAATTTCTTCTCATCCTCTAACTGCATATCCAACTTCTTCGCAATCTCATCTCGAATCTTTTTTTCATCAACAGGGTTGGGCACTTCAATAAAGATGACTTTATCAAATGCCTTTGAATTCTCAACTTCCTTACCAACTGCTTTTGCCATTGTGGTTTTCCCTGATCCTCCCATTGCTTGCAATCCAATCCTACATTTATTGCCATCTTTCAATTCCTCCCTAAGTTGTTCAAATATCGAGTCTCTACTTTTAAAATGCATAAACTCTTGTGAGTAGAATTCCATGCCCGGACGTTCGGCTGAATAAGCAACTTGAGAGAAGTTCTCGACTTTCTCCATTATTATTGGAATCTCTCGCGTCATGCGCTCTAATTCCTTGGCCAATGAACATTGGGAAAAGCAACCAAACCATTTTTTTGGGCTTGGTTCTTGTTGACTAAGTTTTTCAGCTCTTTGAACCCAATGCTTAACTACAGGGTCAATTTGAGTCTCGTTTCTTGTTTTGGCTTCTTTTATCTTTATGTCCATCCTCTTCACTGCGGCTGACAATTGTCTTTTTTTCTGTTCAAAGTCATCAGCATAACTCTCGTAACAACACAAGTATGGAAGTTCCTTCATTACTTTATCTACCAATATATCTGTACACTTTGTTGCAATAGCGCTGGCACCGATTTCCGCCATCTGTCAATCATAATGAGATTACATTTACCCAAAAACAAAAAAACAAAAAACAAAAAAAATACTACATAGTGATGCCTAGGTGCACACTTACTAGGATCTAAGATTTCAATAGCATACAAAAGAAATCATAGCATTCAAAATCTTATTCATATAGTGCAAAATAATTAAAGCCTTTTTATTTTGAATGACAAAATCCATCGTCAATGAAATTTACAATGATACAGTGTTATGAGTCCTGCATTAAAGAACTTTGCTAGGGAAATGTGGTTTATAACTTATAAGCGTAAGAGGCTTTTTCTCCTAACAAGTTAGTATTTTGAGATGAACTCTCTTTTGCACTTGTACTCATAATATTGATAGAATTTCGACAAGTAGGTGTAGGGTTTTGGCTGGTAGGTATTCATTCTTAAATCGAGGTGCATTGTTATAAGTTTTATATCAGAAAACTTCACAAAAAGTGTGATTTATAGCTTAGAAGTGTAAGAGGATTTTTCTCTTAATAGGTTGATCTTGGTTCCTGAACAAAGATGCATTGTTATGAGTTCCATATGCGAGAGCCTCATAAGAGATTGCATGGTTTACAAGTATAAAAAGCATGGTTTACAAGTATAAAAAGCTCTTCTTTTTAATACGCTACTCTTTTGAGATAATTCTCTCTTTAAACTTGTGTTCATTGAAAAGAAGCATGGGAGACTGTAGAAACACTTGATAGTTTGGGATTGTGGAAGTGGCTGCAATCCTTGTCACTCATGATTTGTTTGTGGATCCTAAACCATTCTGGAGGCTGCAGAAGGTGGCATGCGTGGGTGCTCCCTGTACCGCGGTTGGGGGCTTTGGAGGGCAGTGTGGAAGTTGGGTGGCAATACTTTCAAATTCAAACTCTTATGCATCATGTTTTACTTTTAACTAAGCTTTACTGCAATTGTATTTAAGATTGTTGTTTATGCACTCTTGTTTAGACTAGAAGTACCAGTTACTAGGAATTTGTATCTCACTTCCCCATTTCAACAATTTCAGGTGCGGATTGCAGCGATCAAGGGAAAGCACCTGTGTAGAGGTCTTTTCGCACTTCATTCAAGGATCAATCAATGAAAGAAGCATTTAGTAGCTTTGTAATGCTCGTTTATTAAATTCCTGGTAATATTTCAATGACATACTATGAAATGCAACACTCTAATGCTCTTGATGATCGTTTGCTTGTGTGTGGTTTCTTGATCTCTAGGCATGATGCTGGCCAGACTAACTTTTTGTAGTAACTATTAACCTTGTTGCTCTGTGATTGGATGGATGTTATTAGTGGTACGATAGAATTGATTCTAGCTTGATTACGGATGATTCGTAACCTTGTTTATGCATGGATATGATTGATCTTTTGTTACAATTGAATTTGCATTCTTTGGCTTGTCACCATAGTTAAAAACCCCTTTCGTTATAATGATTGTTTTAGAAAACAAAGTTTGAAATTCAGGACACAATCCTAGCCTCGTAAATGATTCTGGGTCTTTATTTGACGTGAGATGTTTGCCTTTGTTTGTTAGATTGTGTGTTGTTGGATTGTCTTGCTTTTAACCTGTAGTGAAGGGCGTTATATCTCCCATCCTCACCTATTTAGGATGCTATTTAATTAGTTACAAAATATTAAAGTATATGACATTTAAGAAAAAGAATAATAATTTAGATGGAGAGTTTTGTATTAAATACTATAGGAAATGGTTTCATAATAAAAATAGGATAATGTAATATTTAATTTCAATGGTTTATTGGAGAGATCATATCATAATATTAATATCACGAAACTCTATACTTACCTCTTGTCCAAATATTTCAATGTCTTTGATCGGAGGGCTCTCTTTCTTGCTTCTTGATTTTCCCCTAATCAAAGGGGAAAAAAAGTTCAGGAATCAATATTCATAAACTTGTAAAAAAAAATATTTAAATTTTTTAAATTTTATTATACTTTCACGAAATTTAAATTTTATAATTAAACGTGCCTGGAAATTACAAGTTTGCAAACAACTTGGTGGGATTAAAAGAAGGGTAATCATTGAAAAAAAAAAAGTTGACTATTACTAATCTGTTTTTAAATATAAGAAAAAAAAAACAAACTCCTAGTTTTAGGAAGTTGATTAAGAATAATAATTAAGAAAAAACTTATATATACTTAACTTTATATATTTAAAATGTTTATTTATTTTTTCTGGAAAATTTAACATGTTTATTTTTAATTAAATCATGACAAGTGTATCTTTTAAAGATTCTATAACAATTTCTTATTATTAATACTCCCTCTATTAAAAAATGTAAGACATTTTTTGAATAGTTGGATATTAAAAAATATATGATATTTTTAGTCTTTTGAGATGTAATTTTTTTTTCCAAAAGCGTCCCTATTGACAGTAACTTTATATTTATTATAGGATATTTAATAAGGGTAAATATGAAAAAAAAATAATGTTAGTTTGAAAATAGGTGATCACTTTATTGGGGATAAGATTCAGTTAAAAATGTCTTACATTTTTAAACGGAGAGAATATTATTAACACATTAAAATTCGACTGTCTTAATTTGATTAGATAAAAGAATATTAAATATATAAGTTTAAAAACATAAATCTTACCCTAATAATTATATATGAAATTAAAAAGTTTTGACTAAATTATCTCCATAATTAATAAAATAAATATGTCGCCTAAAAATAAACTTTGACTTTATAGGAGCAATTTGAAAAAAAAATGTAATAAAATACTTTTTGGAATGTGTAATTTTAATTATAAAAAAAGGAAGCATATAACGGTTTTTATTATAATTGAAAACAGAGGGAGTATTCACTTAAAAAAAAAAAACAGAGTATATCTTTGTCTAATATTTAAGATTAAATAGAATTTTAAAACATTGTCCTATATTTTTTAGCCAATCATTATTTACTATTGATCCTGTGACAGTTTCTGTTATACCTAAATACGGATGACGTGCTTTACGGGGTTTATGCAAAAAAATTTTCTCAATTTATAAAAATTAGATTTTGGGTAATTTATGACAACCCATCTTATGCTATATAAAACTTATACACATTTTATATTATATATTTTTTGGAGTGAATTAACGCGCATTATACAAGATGTTTTGAAAAATATAATAATAAATAAACTAATTTTAAAATTATCTTTTTTTATTTTACTCTTTTAATCAGTGCGTGTCAGTTACTCAATTTCAAAATAAAGTAATAATCTAAATTCATAACTCACTTGCTATGACTGCACAAAAGACTGGATGGGACTGGACTTTAACCTAACCCGGAGTCTGATCCTTTTCATGAAAAGGACTGGCTTAAGTAACCCATAATCCGGTCTGGTCCTGTGAAAATTCGGAGATTACCAAGACTGAACTTGGTCTATAGGACTAAGAGACTGGTCCTGTTAGTCCAATACTCAGTTAGCCTTTTTTTTTTCTTTTTTCTCTATGATGACCAATAATTTATTTCAACTTAACAAACTCAATTAAGATAATAAAAACACTTATAATCATAATAAATCCATAATAATTTCTAAAACCAAGTCCAAACTCCAAATGATTTAAATACATAACTTCAATAAAAAATTAGAGGAAAGACCGAAAATAGATCAGATGAAAAAAATTAGCAAGAACAGAAGTAATAAAAATTAACCCACAAACATATTCCTTCAAAGTTCAAACAGATCAAGATCAGAGTGCAAAGTACAAGGCAAGGGCTAGAGCTTTGGTGCACTGAAGAAATTGAGAATGAGAGCAAAGTTGAGTGAGTGGCTGAGATGCTAAGTGCTGTTGAGTAACAGTATTAAGGTTTTTTTTTTTCGATCAGTGCAAAGTACAAGGCAAGATTAAAACTTTTTTTTCTAAGGCTTATTAATTAATAATTTATAAATTAATTTTAATTATATTAAAATAATTATATAGGATCAAACCGAACCACTTAATCCACATGTTTGGTCTCTAGTCTGGTCTTACTCAAAAAATCAATCCTATCTTTTTGATTCTATAGGACCAACATCTGGACAAGACCAGATTTTCATGGGTCGAACCAGACCGAACAAAATCGAGACTTTTGCACAGCCCTACCGCTTGCATTGCAGAGCAGAACACAGATATACATACCTCAAGTTTCAATGCTTTTCCACTATGCTTCTTCCGGGAATGCCTCCTTTCTCCTTCTCCTTTTTTTGGGGTCCTTTACTGGGTTCTCTGTATTTTTTTTTTTTTTAACTTTGAACGGTAAAAATGAAGACATTTGACAGGGATTTTTTTCTTTAGGAGGAACAAGAACCAAAAGATGAACAACGGAAACTGAAAGTAACTGAAGAGAAATATCAACACATATTGGGACTCAAAAGTAGACCACACAATTTGTATTTTCTTTTCTTTTCTTTTCTTTTAGAATAAAGAAGAACAATAACAGGACGACAGTGATTAATGGAGAGATAGCTCAAAACTCTAATCACTGGATAGGTATCCTTGCGAGAAAATTCATTTTTTTTTTTCCTTTTTCAATGAAGAAGGAGAAGAATTATAGGAACTAGATAGAAATCAAAGTAGAGATACAAACAGACCACACAGATTGTCCTTTTTTTTTTAAGTTTTTTTCTTAAAACAACAACAACAACGATTAATGGGACTCTGGAGATTAAAGAGACAGGAACAAAGCAAAAACAAAGAAGCAGGGCACACGAAGTGTTGAAGAACAAGAATATGTATGAAGGACAACAACGAAATATACAGTGACTGAAGATCAGCAAAATAAAAACAGCAGCAGCAGCAGCAAGAATTGTTAATAAGTGAAGAAAAACACAAAAGGAAGGATCCAAACGCAGACAAGGTAGATCTGAGAGAGTGTTGAAGAAGCGAGGCAAGAGTCTAAAGAAGAAGAAGATCAACAGAAACCGTTGTGACTGAGATTGAACACTGAAATTGCTGAGAGGAAGCAGAAGCTGTAGTGAATAGCGAACTGAGAGAGCGTATTTGCTCACAATTCTTCACCCCAATCAATCGTCTCAACAGCAGGCTCCAACATTCAATGATGTGTTTGAAAGGGTGGTCCATGTGTGAGTACTGTATATCAAGACTGTACATGATATTTTCTCCATCCGCCCAAAACTCTTGATATAAGCCCTTGTTTTACTCTTGAATGTCGGCTATTAGAATAATTATATAACTTAATTTATTAATTATAATATATAATAATTAAACAAATTTATTAACTATAATATAATATAATAATAAAATAATAACATTAAAATTAATATATATTTTCAATCTGATTGAAAATATAATTAAAAATAAAAAATAAATTAATTAAAAATTAAATTGTGAAATTAATGCATTCGTGATATATTACATAATATATGTGGGCATATATATATGTATGTAAATTGGTCGACATGTTACGCTCATAAGTCAAGCTTTAAAAATTTTGACTTGCCTATTTAACTAAATAGATTTAGTTAAAAGCATGAATTTAGTTTGAGTTTATTTAATAAATAAATTAGATTGGGCCTGAAGTGGGTCAAAATGTAAGCTCCTGATAGGAGCTTGACCTATTCCTATCCCAACCCAAGAATTATTAAATAGAGACAGGTGCATATTTTTTAATATTTTTATTTTATAATAAATTCTTAATATTAATATTAATGACATGTTAAAATATACTTATCTTAATTTAATTAAATAAAAATATATAAAAATATATAAAATTAATAGTATACTCCCTCCGGTCCTATTTGTAAGTCATTTCTACCAACCTCATCAATATCAATACAATAAAAGTACAAGGAATAAAAGTACGTAAAATTTCAAACATGCCCCTATATAACAAATCTAAAAAGTAATGTCCTGTTACTTTTTCTCTCTCATGAAGGGTAATTTTGGAAATACCTCTCAAATATTACATAAAAAGATGCACCATGATTTATAAATGAGACCAAATGCACCTTCTAAAATGAGACTTATAAATGGGACCGGAGGGAGTACAAGTCTTTCCTTATGTTTGCATAAATATAAATATTTTACTTTAAGCATACACTCTCCGTTAAAAAATATAAAATATTTTTAATTAAATCTTACCTCCTAATAAAATAGTTACATACTTTTTAACTAACTCTATTTTTTTTATATTTACCTCTATTAAACACTCTATAATAAATATAAAGTCATTATTAATAGGGCACTTTTAAAAAAAAAGCAATGATTACACTTTGAAAAATTAAAAATATCTTACATTTTTAAACATCCAATTCTTCAAAAAATATTTTATATTTTTAAATAGAAAGAGTAATTAATTATTATTTACAACTTGATCTCTTAATATATAACTTAATCTCTTAAGTCAATGTATTAGATTTACAAATATTCTACTAAAATTTACAAAATAAATTTTGAAATTTACAACTTTACTAAAAAAGAGGACACTTGTAAGATCTAGAATGCAAAATTATAAATTCAGAGAGTTGACTTATCCATAGAAAATAGTTAACATCATTAATCTCTTAGCTCTATAAATCTAAATTTACTAATTTAGAGGGAGAATGTTTCATCTGAAACAAAGATTTTCTTTCAGGCCAGCAAACATAAAATGGTCTACTGTTTAGCCATTGATTTTGATTTACCTTATTTTCTCTAATTAGAGTAAATTATTATGTGTTTTAAGTAATTAAATAAAGTCAGTTACAAAAATGGTGGGGCTCACACGAAGAACAGAAAGAACCGAAGAAAATAATGCCATGGGCGTATGGGCATGGGGAGAGATTATCAATCAATATCCGCTCCCGGTTAGCCAAGAAAAGAGCATTTCTATATGAACGATATATTTCCTCCTCTGTCCCTGAATCACAACATGAAATGTCTAAAAAATTACTCCCTCCCTCCAAAAAATATAAAATATTTTTAATTAAATCTTATTCTTAATAAAATAATTATTTACTTTTAAACTAACCCTATCTTTTTATATTTACCTCTACTAAATATCCTACAATAAATATAAATTTATTACTAATAGGGACACTTTTGAAGAAAAAAAGATAATGATTATACTTCAAAAGACTAAAAATATCTTATATATTTATATTTAATTTTTTTAAAAATGCCTTACATTTTTGAATGAAGAGAATAATTTTTTTCCTAGAAAAGTCCTTAAATTGAAATTTATTTTTTAATTTTTTAAAATATTCTCGTGAGAGTAACCATACAAAAAATAAATAAATATCATTTAAAAGAAACGATACTCTCATTTTCACATATAGAAAAAATAGAATGTTTGATTATCAAAAAATAAAAAGAAAAGAAAAAATAGGATGTTTGGAATTTAATGAATTTAAATTAAGAATAATACGAAAAAAGTTGGTGCGTTTTGAAAAATTCAAGTGACGTGTGAGAGTGGAAAATAATTATTTCTTGCTCTTCGTTAAAAGCAATCCAGTGAACTACTCCATTCAGTCTCATTTATAAAATATATTTTAAAAAATTTATTTAATCTCATTTATAATTTATGGTGTAATTTTTAGATAATAATTAAAAAATATTTTTAAAATTATTTTTCATAAAAAATAACATAACATTATTTTTAAAATTTATTGTATAAAAATATATTTAAAATTTAACCACTTTTATCTTTTATAATTTTTTTATTAATATTGATAAGATTAAAAAAATAATTTATAAAAAAGATTGAAAGAGTATTAAGTAAATATTATGATATTTACAAGCAAGTTTTCAAGTTTTAACTTCTAAAGGCCATCGTTGTAATTGTCCTGAAAATAGTGATATTGTGGCTCGGCAGCCCAGCTTGGGTCAGTGTCTGTCTCTAAGAGACAAAGACAGAGAAAGATGGCCCTGAATAGAAGAGAAAGAACAAGTCCATTCCAATTTGTTGGCTCTTTCTTCTTTTCCGCATACGACAAAACCATTGACAATGACGTGACTTCATGAGCATCTTCATTAATCCAAACTCTGTCAATTTCATGTGTGTTTGTTTTTAATTTGCTAAATTCAGGTCGTTAAAAGTTTATTCAATAAAACTCATTTAGATAAAAATCAGTTATTATAATAAAATTGAGAGAAAATTGATAAAAAAATCTAGTTAAAATCAAAATTAATCTCAAGAATTAAATATATTTGAAAGATCAAGTCTATTGTTATATTCATAAAATAGATGCTTTTGTATAATATTCTCTTCACACGCCTTAATTGAATAACTATCAGAATCTCTTTGAAGCTGTTGAGCTTGAAGATGGCTGGTAACAGTGACTCCTCCTATTACCTTTGCCTACTAAAGGTGATTGGCAACTCCTCCTTCCATCACCGTCATCCACCGCCACAAATCTCATTCCAAATCTCACTGCATCATATATGAAACCATAAAATTTGTATTTTCACCTATGGAGGATGCTAGCAGAATGAGCTACATCATGGGATGAGGCTTGAACGTGGTGGGGTGTGGCCTTGTTACGGATTAAGCCAAAAAGCTTATGTTTGTAAATCTCAGATTTCAAATTCATATCTTTGGTAAAGAAGAATTGCAAAGGTGACATTCCTCAAGTTGAGGAATCTCATAAAGAAGGGTGTTCTTTTGTTCATTTGACAAAAAGAAATAGAATGATCTCTCATTGTGTAAAATTAAGAAGATTGAATCTCTCAACTACAGCAGGACTATCCCGTGCTCTGTTTATCTTTTTTAGAGTTTTTTCACATTAAATCTTTAGTGTTATCTTTATTTTGTTCTTCTCTAATTTCCACAAATTGATATTAGACATTAGCGATATAAGAAAAAATGTTTAGAGAATCACAAAGAGAGCTATATATATTTATAGGTATAGAATGGATGTCTGCTTCAATTTTTTGACTCTGATATTTGACAATCATATAATATTGTTCGAACTTGATATGCATAATGCTCCTTGTCAACAAAACTTTGAATCAATATAATATAAATCTTTCTAGTGTGTTCATATTCTTTAGACAATTGTGTGACTTAAATGATAAAGATGATGCTTGAACAACAATCATTTAGAAAGTATTACCATTCATTGTAATATCAAAAAAACAACTACTATACAAAGATAAGAATAACTCTTCATTGTCTTTGCAAGTTAGCTTTTGTAACTCTTAATTCTATTAACATTCAAGGACAAACTCGACATTTTTAAAATTAGAGTCAATTTCACCGATTATATGCAATCAAATGTGATCAAATCTCATGTCTTTTACTTTTTTTTTTCTAGCTCATGTATTATACATAAAAGCAAGGCTTAATCTGTAATTATAGAGTGTTAATTAACCAAATAAAATAATAAGAGAACTCTAGTTTAAAAAATTGTCTATAAGTTTACTCCCCCTTTTCTTTTAAATCAAAATCTCTGTGGTGTAAATTAATTTTGTAATATTATAAACCAATTGAGAACTCTTTCACGCATTTTTTCCACCAATCAATTTTTATCAATTTTTGTTTATCTTCACCTTTCTGCTGTAACAAGATTCAAGGTATCTTAATATGTATATGTGCCTATACCAGTTTGTATTTTGGAATTTGATCAATCCATACATTGATTTTGATAAAAATTGTACCCTGCTTTGTTTTTCATTTGCACCGCAATTATCTAGCCCTAGAAAATGCATTAGGTAGTCAGTTAACCTTAAAGGTTGATGTATACAGCTTTGAAGTTCTTGTACTAGAAATAATTAGTGGCAAAAGCAATTCAAGGACAACTTGGGTAGGAACTAAGAAGGTCCTCTTGGAATAGGTAAGTTCTGTTTCTTGTTTTTGCAAGGTATCATGCAACAAAAGACAAATACATATAATGATGCCTTGATGCTTTTTTATTTCATAAATTCCCACGTTTTCTTTTATTAGTTCAGTCATGACCACAGTTTCTCACTTACTGCTCAATATCTTAGAGAAAAAGCACATCATTGACTTATTAAAGGAGAAAATTCTCATAGTCATTTCATTTTGGATAAACATCTTATATGTGAATGTAGCATGGTATGAATAACCTACTTGTGATAGCTACTAATTTTCATTTCAAGAATAATGTTTTAGACTCACTGAAGCATAAGAT